TCAATGGAGGGGCCACTGCTGCGGTCCTCGTTAGTCAATCAATCAATTAATTAATCAATCAATCAATCAATCAATCAATCAATCAATCAATCAAATCAATCAATCAATCAATCAATCAATCAACCAATCAATCAATCAATCAACGAATCCCATCGAATCTATTGATTCGAATGGATCTTGACAGTTCTATCAAGATCTTATCGGATCAAACATAGGATTCATGAAAACCTAACAAAACAAATTGTTAGGTTTGCACGAAATCTATTCAAGATTATGATAGTACGTTTTTCAGGTCTCCTCCAGGAACAAAATTCTATGTGAAGGGAAACATCCGAAAAAAAAAGAACAGAAATTTATTTTTTTAGAACTACTCGAGGGGGCGAGGAAAAAAACGTGTTTTTTCATAGAAAATCACGACATGGTGAAGCAACGTAGGTTCAAGAACTGAAATATCCTGATTTTTTGTTATCCAAAAAAATTGTGTTTATAGTCCTATAAGATATGTAGCACGATGAATTTATTCAGGGGTTTTCTGAACGAGCAAACATATTCTCCTGTTCGTGTACGTTCGCTTGAACATGGCTTCCCATACATGGGCGAATTTTTTTATTTTTTATTTAAATTTTTTTTTTTCCCTATATTTTTATTTTAAACTCGTGTTTGGTTAAGAATTTCAAGGTATCTCCGAAGCAAAAGTTGTTTGTATTCTTATTTTAAATGACATATATTTTTTGATAAGGGTTTTATTGTTAAGTTCAAAAGTGATTTATAGTCCTATAAATTATTTTGGTAGAGCTTGACTTTTACCTAACTGCGGAAACTGACTTATAGTCCTATAAATGAGTATTCACCAAAACACGTTTTTTTTTACATCTTTCAAGTTTGCCTTGTCATCCTTAAAAATTACCCCGTTTGAACTCTGTTTTTTTGCCAATCTATTGAGAATGAATTATAGTGATATAAAAGCATTTTGCAAGGAAGAGTTTTCTTGCACATTTTGAGGAACGCTGGTCTTTTCACCTGATTTTTTGCCTCCTTTATCGCAAAACGATTAAAAACGCTCTCTTTTTGTGTAAAAAATAACAGTTTGACTTTTACTTTTTCATTCTATAAGAAATGTTAGGTTTTCTCCGATTGTGAGGTTTTCACGAATCCCCTATTATCAATAGATTCGATAGGATTCATTGATTGAATGATTGATTGATTGATTGGATAGCCTAAAAAAAAA